CCTAGCACGGGCAACCGGGGTGCCAGGAGGAGCTGTGCTTCGGTGCCAATCACTTCCGAAGCAGCTCAAACCCCTTCATAGGCTGCCAGTATCTCTTTCTCAGTTGGGGTATAGCTTGCCTCAGATCCTCTGTATCCCCGACTCCAAAAACCAAGGGGTCGACCTCGAGTCTCTCCTGGAGCTTTCTGCCACAGGCTCCAGGTAGGGCCATTCTCCCCAGCTGCGGTGTACAATACATTTTTTACATCTGGCCCAGTCCGAACTGGTCCAAGGGCCACTGCATGAACTATCTCGCGTTTAATTTGCTCAAAGGCTTGTTGTTGCTCAGGTCCCCATTTAAAATCATTCTTCTTACGGGTCACGTAATAGAGAGGGCCTACAATCAAACTGTAATTTGGGATGTGCAGTCTCCAGAACCCCACTGCACCCAAGAAAGCTTGTGTTTCTTTCTTATTAGTTGGTGGAGACATTGCTGTTATCTTGTTGATTACATCTGTGGGGATCTGTCTACGTCCATCTTGCCATTTTATTCCCAGAAATTGAATCTCCTGTGCAGGTCCCTTGACCTTACTTCGTTTTATGGCAAAACCGGCTTTCAGCAGGATTTGAATTATTTTCCTCCCTTTCTCAAAGACTTCTTCTGCTGTATCGCCCCACACTATAATGTCATCAATGTATTGCAGGTGTTCTGGCGCTTGCCCCTGTTCCAGTGCAGTCTGAATCAGTCCATGGCAAATGGTAGGGCTATGTTTCCAGCCCTGGGGCAGTCGGTTCCAAGTGAACTGGACACCCCTCCAAGTAAAAGCAAACTGTGGCCTGCACTCTGCTGCCAAAGGAATTGAGAAAAACGCATTGGCAATATCAATCGTGGCATACCACTTGGCTGCCTTTGACTCCAGTTCATACTGAAGTTCTAGCATGTCTGGTACGGCAGCACTCAAGGGTGGTGTGACTTCATTCAGGCCACGATAGTCTATTGTTAGTCTCCACTCTCCATTAGGCTTTCGCACTGGCCATATGGGGCTATTAAAGGGCGAGCGGGTCCTGCTGATCACTCCCTGACTCTCCAGTCTACGGATCAGCTGATGGATAGGAATCAGGGAGTCTCGGTTGGTGCGATATTGCCGCCGGTGCACTGTTGTGGTTGCAATTGGCACTTGTTGTTCTTCAACTTTCAGCAGCCCCACAACAAAAGGATCCTCTGAGAGACCAGGCAAGGTGGACAGCTGCTCAACTTCTTCAGTCTCCAAAGCAGCAATACCAAAAGCCCATCGGTACCCTTTTGGGTCTTTGAAGTACCCTCTCTTGAGGTAGTCTATGCCAAGGATGCATGGAGCCTCTGGGCCAGTCACAATACGGTGCTTTTGCCATTCTCTCCCAGTCAGGCTGATTTCAGCCTCCAGTACAGTCAACTCTTGGGACCCTCCTGTCACTCCAGAAATATAGATGGGTTCCACCCCTTGACAGCTCGATGGCATCAGGGTACACTGTGCACCGGTATCTACTAGAGCCTTATACTTCTGCGGGACTGATGTGCCAGGCCATCTGATCCACACAGTCCAGTAAATCCGATTGTCCCCTACCTCCACCTGGCTGGAGGCAGGGCCCCTCTAATAGTCATCACAGGATTGGACGCTTAAGTCATGTTGAAAGGGATTATTCTTCTTTATCACAGGAGCTGGAGTAAGATCAGCTCTTCCACTCCACCTGGGAGACTGCTCACCAGAGACTGAAGCCGTAGCTCTCATGGGACGCTCAGTCTTGGCCTTTGCTCCTCTTTTCAATTCACTCACCCGTTCCTCCAAAACTGAAGTAGGTTTTCCATCCCACTTTGTCATGTCTTCTCCGTGATCCCGCAGGTAAAACCATAGGGTAGACCGTGGTGTATACCTCTTGTATCTCCTTTCTCGAACAGTGGGACGCCTTTTGCTAATAGCTGAAATGTGTGTTGGCACACGCGAGGAGTTGGATAAGTCAGATATATCGTCCCTCAATTGTTTGAGATCCTGGGACAGTTTTTCCACAGCTGAGATGATGGAAGGGGTGAGATTGTCTTCGAACTCGCGGAGTTTATGAACCATTTCATCCACTGTTAGTGGTACTATGTCATTCCAGGTTACTGTTGCCAATGAATGGGCGTATGATGATGGTGCATTCCGTGTAAGTTTTCGCCACATGGGTCGTGTACGTTCGACTTCATCTGGATCTATGGGTATATTCCCGTTATTCGGCTTGATGTGATAGATCATCTCTACGATGGCTGATTCTCTCAGAGACTGGATACCTTTGTCTATAGTAGTCCACTTGGCCGAACGACTCATAACATCGTCCTTGTATGGAAACCTTTCTTTGACAGCTGCCAAGAGCCGCCTCCAGAGACTGAGAGACTTTTTCTCTCTTGCAATTGCTTTGTCAATTCCCCCTTCTCTAGCAAGTGATCCCAACTGCTTGGCTTCTGTACCTTCTAGTTCGTGACCATCGGCCCCATTGTCCCAGCATCGGAGCAACCAGGTGATGATGTGCTCCCCTGGTTGACGGGTAAAATCTTTTCGCATATTCCGTAGCTCGGTTGAGGTCCGAAGTCGAGAAGTCACCTCTCCTTCTTCTTCTTCATCATGTGATGATGACTCCTGATCATGTTCTGGATCGAGTAGTGAACACATTGTTTCTTCATCTTGCTTTAACCTTCCTGCCTCCTTTTTGCTTTTTCTCTTGCGTACAGGGGCAACCGATATTGGTACGAATTGGTCCTCTGGTTTAGTTGCAGTTGTTATCACTGTGGTTTGAGTAGCGACTGTACTTGTTGCTGGGGGTGGTGTAGCTGCTGTACTTGGAGCTGGAGTATCTGTACTGGCTGTTGCTTTGCCCTCAGATCCAGCGACATTTTTTTCCTTTTGAAGGTGCTGGAAAGCATTGAACATGGCCCTGTAAGCGTAGGCCAAGCCCCAGCACGTTGCCATGATTTGTCCGTCTCTGGTATGGCCAGAATGACCACACACCTCATTTAAGTGTTTTACTAATTCTTCTGGATTTTGCAGTTGTTCGGTGGTGAAATTCCAAAGTACTGGAGGGGCCCACTGACCTAGATACTTGCCCATACTGTCCCACACACCCTGCCACTCATGGCTGTCCAGCCTCAGAGAAAATCTCTTGGTCTTCCTACTTCGTTGTTTAACCCCAGACAAGACCCAAACCTGACTCTGCTTAACTTTTGAAAACAGATGAAATAGTTGTGGCCAAAATACACTCTGTATACGTGCCAACATGGTGATCCCCATCACAATCAGCAAACAAGTCTCAATAGCAGTAAAAGGCCATTCAAAACTCTCAAATGATGCTGTAAATGCTCTGGGGGGAGGAATGGGAGGGTAAAAGAATGCCTCCTTCACAGGTTGACCACCCGAGAAGGAGAAAGAATATGTGTAATTGCTAAGCATTTCTATTATATACCTCCCAAAGTATAAAGGTGGTGACCATACTGGGAACATAAACCAGATAAGTTTCATGATCAATAATTCTATTGTGTTACAAGTCATCATCATAAAGTACACTGAGACAAGAACCTTAGCCCAAGCCCCACACTTGAAAAACACTAATACAGCAAATACCAGATCTAAGTAAATTACAACATTCTGAAGCTGTGAGATCAAGAGGAACAACTTTGAGAGCCAATAAATCAGCATTGTGATGAGTGACTATTAATCCGGTCAGATCTGTTGTTATCTCAGCCCCTTCGTGCCCCACGTTGGGCGCCAAAAAAGAACTGTCGTGGTTTAACCCACAGCCAGACAGCTTGTTACCCACTCCCCCCCCTTCTTGCCCTCCCCCTACTCCTGGGGGAACGGAGAGGAGAATAAAAAAGAAATGCAACTCCCACGGGTTGAGATAAGAACAGTTTAGTAACTAAGGTACAATACGAATCACCACTGCTACCACCAACGACAACAATGATAAGAGAAAACAGCAAAGGAAAGGAGTACAATACCACGCGCCGAACCACCAGTCCGACCCGGCCGACCCCCTCTCCTTCCGGGTCCCCCCCAGTTCCCCCCTCGGCATGACGTGCTGTGGTATGGAATACCTCTTTGGTCAGTTTGGGTCAGGTGTCCTGTCTCTGCTTCCTCCCGGCCTCCCCTCCTCCCTGGCAGAGCATGAGACTCACAAAGTCCTTGGCCAAACCAAAACATCACCTCTATCAGCTTTGTTCCCAGCCCGAAAGTCAAAACACAGCACTGCACCAGCTACCAAGAAGGAGAAAAAATGACTGCTGCTGCTAAACCCAGGACAGAAAGATAACCTAGTTCAGACACAGACCAGGTAAGAAATTAGTCTTGCTGGTCTGTCTAAATGAATTAGGCTTCCATAAATGTTTGGCAAACAGTTTAACATCATAAAGCATCACCACAAAATTCAGATATGCTCTTACAAGATTTTGCATGAAAAGATCTAGCTGCAGAAATTTCAGATCCCTCATCCATATTCTGGTGTTGGCTCTGTATTCACATCTTACTTCTCCTCATTTTAGGCTCAAATGCACATGCTTCAAGGTCAGGCATATCTTTCACGAAGACTGTTGCTAGTTACACACAGCATTGGTAAAGATATTCCAGTATTCTGCACATTTGCAGCATCAGCAAACATAGAAAACTCAAAAGTGAATCTTAAGGTCTATTGAGACTGTTGCAGCCAACAACAAAATTCCTGCAAAATAATGATTCATTTAAATGTAACAGGAATCCCTGCCATAGCCAGTCAACATCCTACAATAACAGCCCTACAACAACATCCTACGTTGTGCAGTACATTGAGCAGTTTCCTCTACAAAGTTACTTAGTTCAAATCTTTGAGGAAGAGATAGTTGTTTTATTAAAAAGTCACAAACTTTATAGCTTATCTGCTCAAGTCAATATTCTGAGCATTAATGCAACAAAACACAATGCAAAGCACTTAAACAGATTATCTAGGCAGCTCCTCTACTAAAACTCTACAAAAGAAGGTACCTTTGGCATATTTGACATAGTGGCAAGTTTCTCATCTCTCTTGATCTTGATGAAAAAAGTAGCTTTAAATGCTGGTTCATCAAAGCATGGAAAAGCAGACCTTGCTGCCACAGGTTCAAACTGAGTTGCTGCAAACCACCTAACGATAAGAGCAGAAAAAAGCAAATTTAGAATTATTAAAAGAATAATGTCAGTTTATTTATGATAGAACAGTCATTTCCCCACAAAACTCATACGTTTGCTATGGGAGTAGCTTTCTGTCAGGTGGTCCTGGACTGACCCAGACTGCTTTTTCTACCTTTTATTTATTGCACTGCTTTGTTTCTAAAAAATGTTCATGGACAAGTGTGCGCCAAAAGCGTGAACACTCTTTAGGTACATGACCAGTGTTAAGACCCATTCAAAGTGGGGGGTGGTGGGTGGCAATTTCATTAACCTTATTGGTAAAAACCACTGATTTACCCTTTTTAAAAGTGGGCATGGTGTTTCCCTTTTCTCCAGTCACTGAGGACTTCATGACTGACTTGACAATTGAGAGCTGCTTGGCAACTACATCTATCAGTTCCCTTAGGAATGTAGGATGCATCTCTTTGGGTCCCACGGTTTTGTGTATGTTCAGGTCCCTCAAATAAGTCTCACACCTGATCTTCTCCTACAATGGGGAGACTTTGTTCCCTCAGTCCATTGAGACTCAGGGACTGGGGAGATTCGGGAAGAATTTCCAGGAAGAAACTAAAAATTAAACAAACAAAAAGCCACATTATAACTACCTACAACCAATATGTTGCACTACATTTAACTGACAGAGAGGCTGCCCTCACTTAATGAACTCACCCATTAAAGACACTTTTTCAGGTTGATTAATCAGGAGATTAAAGATGGATTTTGCTCAATAGGAATCAGTTGTACAAAACATCCAATAGAAAAAGCTATTTCTACTATTATTAAAGCACAATCTAGAGTGACAGAAGAGAGAAGATGCATTTGTGGGCATACCTTTGCTTGGAATTCTCATCCTTGTAAGAAATTTTGTAAAAGCCGTAATAGGTATCTGATAAATTAGACGAATATGCTATGTTGACAGTATAATTCTGTCCTACGAGAAGAGCCTCAGGAGCCATAACTGCAATCTGGTCATGCAGTGGATATTCCAGGAATTCAGCTGGCTTTTCTTGATGCCCTCCTGCTGAAGTAATAGTTGCCTTGGTGATATTAAGTCCTGAACTGTGAAGTACAATCTTCCAAGTTACATGGATGATGTTAACCACTATCTTTACAGAGCCTGAAAATTTCAGAGTAGTTAGGTTGGGTTGCAAGACAAGATCATAATGCAGTGGTACAACATCAGAAGGAAGTCTAATTTTTGCCCATGGAAATAGTTTCCCATTGGTTGCCAAGGGGTATATTAGTTCAATTGTATGGTTTTTTTTATGGCAGCCTTCTTTGGTAAAGGTACATTTTGGAAGAAGATAAATCACCATTAGTAATGCGACTGCAATCACAAGAATAACTGTGAAAACCACCATGGTCTTTGTAGAGGGCAGTGAACATGATCCATTTGAACTTTGTCTATAGACAGACATGTTGTTCCGGAGACTGGAGCTTCTGTTCATGAAGGACAACCCCAGCAATTTTGCTGATGACTCATAATCCTCTTCATCATCATCCATTTCATGCTCTCCAAGGCCACGGACCAAGAGACGTGAGCTCCTCGGCTCATATTCCACTTCATCAGGCTCCAGGGGATGTAAACAAGGCTCTTTTGCCAAGTCAACAACGTCAGGCTCTTCTTCAAACATGCTGTTTTCAATCATATTCCTGGGTAACTGAATTTGATCTGAAAAAGACCATATGTTACATATAAACAAAAGTTGTGGTTATAATACCTCAGATACAGTTTACTGAATTACAGAATGGGAAACACTTTTACAGAACATGCAATCAAGAGGTCATCAATTTTCTCTCTCAGGTTTGTTTCTAAAAGACTTTTCTGTGCTTTTCTGCCTACCATAACTTCTCATTCAGTATCTTCAAAAGATGCTTCCGTTGTGCATACTCAATCATGTCTTGCACCACAACCAGGGACCAGCTATACCACTACATAGCACTCCCATTTAGAATCACTGAATGGTCTGGGTGGGAAGGAACCTTAAGATCATCCAGTTCCAACCCCCCTGTCCACGTCCCCCAGACAGGGCACCTTCCACTAGAGCAGGTTGCTCAAATTCCCATTCAGCTTGGCCTTCAACACTGCCAGGGATGGGGCAGCCATGGCTCCTCTGGGCAACCTGTGCCAGCACCTCACCATGCTTGCAGTAAATAATTTCTTCCTTATATCTAACCTGAACTTCCCCTGTTTAAGCTTAAATTTATTACCCCTTGTCCTATCACTACAGTCCCTGACGAACAGTCCCTCCCCAGCATCCCTACAGGCCCCCTTCAGGTACTGGAAGGCTGCTCTGAGGTCTCCACGCAGCCTTCTCTTCCCCAGGCTGAACAGCCCCCACTTTCTCAGCCTGTCTTCATACGGGAAGTGCTCCAGTCCCTTATCACCCTCATTCACTGATGTCAGTGTCTTGGCTACATTATTCCTACCCCAGTAAACTGTATTTATATTCAACTAAATTAGTCAAGATGGAATATTCTTTCAGTTGCAGAATAAAGCATAGGCAACCAATACAGTTTTAGAGGAGTTTCTGAATAGTTAATGAGTTCTTTAATAAAGGAGAAAATCTGTCGATGTGCTGGCAGCTACACAAAATATCCATTTGATATTCTTAATCTTCATTTTCACATATACCCAAAAAAAAGATTAAACGTATTCCTCATATAAAAATGGCAGTATAAAAATCATTGTTCCAGTAGATACCTTCTTATACAACCCTTGAAGAAATCCATGCAGGTAAAAAGTTACACCAGTGCCAATCAGATTTTGCCTCCACAAAAATCATCCTTGATAGATAACATAACTGAACATAAAAGAAGAACTGAAATTCATACAAAATTTTAAAAGTATCAGATACTTTAATACTCCACATGCAGTTATATTTTAATCAAACTTCTGGTCATCTCTATAGCTGTTTATGTAAAAGGGTATCTTTCAACTAACCTACTGAAAAGTGATAAAAATTAAAAACACTTGTGGAAATAAAAATGGGATATGGACATCCAAAAGTAACCAACTTCGGAGCAAGGTACCTTTTTCACACTGTATTTAATACAAAGTACTATAAACAACATAGAAAGGATGTTAGCTGGCTTTTCTCAGGACACCACAGTGTTGTCTAGAGAACAAAGCAACTTAAATGGAAAAGCCCAAGAAACCCCACTACCCCCAGTGTTTTAGGGTCTTGACATTACACTTGAGTTAGCCTCCTCTCACAGCTTCTAAGGGACTAGACAAAGCTCTTTTCTGACTGCAAGGCTTCAGAATGAAACTAATCTCTTTCAGATGTGAAGTTCTATTTATAATTGAAAAATAATCATATCACAGCTCTATCCACCAGCTCTTAGGTTCCCAGAATGAGAATGATAATTTTTTCTTTTGATTTAAACATACTGAAAAGCAGGTTGGTTTTTATTGATTTCTGATAAAAATACACATTTTGCCAATCTATATAGAACTTATAATATCAGTGTTACCATAATACATTAGTGATTTTATCTATATTGCTAAAGTCTCATCCAATAACTAAGGATATTATACAGAAACAAGTAACATTAATCATTTCAGGAATATATATATGGCTGCTTGATAGGATCTAAGATGTTGAAACAGACTAATGTAAGATACTGGGAGGGTAAAGATTTGTGGTTCAGTAGTAACCTTTTATTCCCCCCCCCTTTTTTTTAAGTCAGGTTTCTATATGGCTGAAATTCTCATAGGTGAAAATAAAACATCTTAAAGAAAAGATGGCAAGAATGTTTTCAAACCAGATATATAAAACTCCTCAACATTTACTTTAAAATGCACCAAGACTTCCTGTCTCAAGGGCACAAACTCCGAAAATGATGGCGTCTGTAGTCATAACACTGAAAAGGATGGAGCAAGAATTTTTATTCTAGCCTATGTTCTACTATGCTTTTCACTTTGTATAGTACCTGTGTATTAAATCTCTAATGGTACTAGCCTGCCACTTATTCTAGAGTTAGACTGACAGACTGTTCAGATACCCTCAAAACAAGTAAGAGCTTTGTAAATCAGCACCTTGCATCTCCAACAAAAAACTACTGGGTTACTGGGGGGGGGGGGAGAGACGTCAGCCTTGAACATCTTCCTGCAAAGTCCTTAAAATAAGTAAAAAGAAAATAAATAAAAAAAAATCCTACTCCACAAAAGTCAGTAGAAGGTGTACTGGTCAATCTGATCAAGCAATACAGAGATGGATGAAAGCAGGTAGATTCTTGGAATTTGGATCTAGCTGCTCACCCTTTGTCTCATTGTAAACATGCTGCTCTGAGTAGGAATAGAATCATAGGGTCACAAGGTACCTGGAGCTGGAAGTGATTTCAGTAAGTCACCTACTCTAACCTCCAGGCAAAAAGCAGCTTCTGAAAGTTTCTCCTGGGGCATTTCCCAGAACAGTGGTTCATGTTCCACCCTTTAGGCTGTGGTTGCAGTTCACTTGTCCAGCAGTATGGTCTCTACTCTGGAGCATGTGCACTTATATGTCAGATTGGAAGCCTCACAGAGTAAAGAAGGAGGGTAGAAAGCTAAGTTTCAAGTGAACACATAGATAAACTAGAGCAGAAAAATTAATGGAAAGACAAAATATTGTGCAACGGAAGCTTTTTTACAATTCCTCTGCCCAATAATAGTTTATCAAGAATTCACTAAACCACTTGTAACAGAGATTCGGTTGATTATTACCCTCTGCTGGCTGCTTTTCAAATCTGCTGTCTAGGTTCAATCAAATTCGAAAACAGACCAAATTTCTTCAAGTCTCAAAGCAATCCCACCCCAAACCAACCAGCTGCTGGTGGAAGACACCCAAATCAATATCTGCAATGTAGAAAAGGCAGGTATTAAGACTCACATCTCAACCACTCCAAAAGGCAGAAGACAACACAGCTCCAGCACCAGCCATGGCATGTGCTGCTGCATGGCCAGCAAAAGAGGTAGATGACAGGGGAGGCACTGCAGAGGGAAGGAGGAGAAAGAGAGTATCAATCTGGCAGAAAGTAGGCTTTTATCAGCTCTGTTGCTAATAGAATAGTTTGCTTATCGAAGAGCTTATTCTCTAGTAAGTTTTTTTCTAAAGCCAATTGTCAAAAGTATTTTTAGAAGTTGCATGTAAGCACTCAGTCAAAAAGAATTATACAAAATAATCTCCAACTGAAACTAAAAAAGCTACAACAAAAGTTAGTTTCAAGGCAACTCACAGTTTTAATACCTAAGAGACATTCATTTCCATGAAAACAACAGTTAGAAACAATTTCTGCTGAAGCATTTGCAAAACTTGGAAGCAATCAAAGTCTTGGTTCTTCTGTAGTGATGAAAATCTATAAGATCAGAACCTTACTGAAGATCAAGGGCAACACCAGACTACCATTCTGCACTGGAGAGCATACAGACAAGGTATCAAAAGCTTACTGGTGTTACATATTTGCATTCACAGAAGCATAGAATTCAGGCTACTTTTTGGAGAGGAGCCATAGCAAACATGTATAAATTTTTTACACTCAGATTAACTCTGGAGTGTTTGTTTCATGCTGGTTTATTGGGATTTATAATATTATAGTATGAATCATCAGTCATGTGAATTGAACTCTTACAGCCTCATAGTTTCAATGCATGAGCTGCTACAATATAGCTAAAAACCTATGGGAAAGACAAAATAAGGTATTCTTAAACAAAACCAAGTCATTAGGAATAAGCAGCAGCCCAAGGGAAATGACTCTAACCATCACATTTCAGTGTGATCTTTCACACCAAGGATCAGTGTGATCTTTCACACACAAGACACAAACATTCCAATTCAAGACATAGGCATTGCACATGAATTCAGATTCCAAATATGACACAGAAAAACTTGGTATAACTGTAATACTAGGGAACTTTCATCTGTAAAACTGCACATTCCAGTGAACTACCACTGCCATGACAGAGGCTGCAGGTGCACTAGAGGCATTTGTAGTCATGCAAGTCTAAAATTAGGGAAGTACCAATCCGAGATGCTAAAATGCACTACAAAAAATTATCTGTCACGAGGCATGAAAATTTAAATTTAAGTCTTTACTAAATACAAGGAAAAACAAGGAGTTAAAAAAAAAAAAAAAAAAAAAAAAGGTCACGGGGCTGAGTATTGTTGCTCCCCAATTGGCACTAATTAAGTGATGCTAAAAGCATAAAGCTTAAACTTGAAGTTACAGCAGCTAGAAGCTTGAGCATGCCCCAGTGAAAGTGGCAGTGTTTGCTGAAATCAAAAAGGTTCCTAGAGAGTGTTGGTTTGTTTTGTTTAATTTGGGGTGTTTTGTTTGTTTGTTTCATGAATGTGAGAGCAAGTACTGCAGTAACGAGCTTCTGCACACACACTGGAGCAGAATTCTGCCAGTTGGTCTGTATCATGGAAATTAAAACAATATATGGATTATGTATTTTAAGACTCTCTCTTACCTTAAATTGCCATAAGAAACAGGAGCTGAGAGCATAATCTCATGTAAATCACTGTTTATTAGTCTTGGGTGCTTGTAAAAGGCTTTCTGAAAGTGTCTTCCTGATTTTTTAAGGAAAGCACAATTGCATTTTCTTCAGCAGGACCTCAGGCTGAAGAACCACATGCATCAATTACTTTCCAGCATTTACTGGTTACCTTTATACAGAGATAATCAGACTATCACTGATACGTCTTTAAATCTTTACTTTCGTGTCAACAAAAAGAGTGTGGTTAATTCACTGAACATTTTACTTATTCAACTGGCAAAAAAATACAGTGTTTTTTTCATATTTATCTGAAGGTCAATAAAGATAGCTGAAGCTAACTAATACAAGCTTAATCTAGATTTTGATAACCAACACAGGAATATTGTCATAGCATCATAGAATGGTTTGGGTTGGAAGGGACCTTGAAGTTCATTCAGTTCCAACCCCCTATCTTACACTAGACCATGCTGCTCAAAGCCCCATCTAAGCTGGCCTTGAGCACTACCAGGGATGGGGCAGACACAGCTTCTCTGGGCAACCTGTGCCAGCATCTCACCACCCTCATAGTAAAGAATTTCTTCCTAATACCTAATCTTCATCTACCCTCTGACAGCCTAAAGCCATTCCTCCTTGTGCTATCACTACATGCCCTTGTAAAATGTCCCTCTCCAAGTTTCTTGTAGGACCCCTTCAGTACAGGAATGCTGCTGTAAGGTCCCCCTGGAGCCTTCCCTTCTCCAGGCTATATAATGTCCATTCACATCTTAGCAAATATTTTTAAATTTCAATCTGGTATTTTTTCCACAGTGAAAAGCAAGGGAAGTGGAGGGAAGGGAAGAGGAGGGGGTGTTTTCAATTATACTTTGCTCTTTGGGCACTACTGAGAGAGAAAACCTTCTACAACTCCCAAAAGCATTAAGCCAGTGTTCCATTCTCAGCCAGGGGTTGAACAAAACACAGAATGGGAAAGAGGGCTCTGAACTTCAATGTTAGAACATGGGGTTTGTGTTTCCTATCTCCAATCTGATCAACAGTATGCTTTGCAATTAAACATATAGAAGCTGTTTAACCCCGGAAGCCGAATGAAAAGGCCTTTAGTCTTCCAGGAACAAGACAAGACAGGAAATAGTGTCTCAAATTTCTTGAGCTACTGAATATACATATTCATGACTGCTTACTATCTTCTGCACTGTATCTGTTCACCAATTTTATGGCTGATAAATACCAGGCTCATCACAGCTGAAGTTGCAAAACACTTCTCTGCCAGTAGCAGTTGCTCTGTGGAAAAATTTGTAGAGAACTTTGCAAAATATCTAACAGACTATGAGTCATACATCTGACAGGGTTTTTTTTGTTTGTTTGGCGTTTTGCTGTTTTTCTTAAAGCAATAAATTCAAATTATCATACCTTCTCACCTAGAACAGTTTCTTAAAAAAAAAAAAAAACAACAACCAACCCACTGTGCTTTCCAGATTGCTATTGTTAATTAAACAAACTTGACAACTCCAGTGATAATACTATACAAAGCATTTGTAGGTCACAAGTACTGCACACTCATTGCTTCATAACTGGTAGTTCAGCTCACAGAAGTAATAATGTCTAAAGGTTATTGCCTGTGACTTGCAGTGCAGCGACTTTTATGGTTTTAACAGAGCAACAACATATCTCCCTTTTGCCAGCCTCATTATGTGGTAAGACAAATGACTTTGATAGAGAAAGACATGGTAGTGTGCCTGCATGGTAGCTCAAGAAATACTGAGATCTAAATTGCTCCAAACCCCTACCCAGGTATCATATATCAGCTTTGAAATAAGCTTCATTACAGTCATGGGGTCAGAAGCAGTTCAGACACCAGATGCTTTTCAGAAGGCATCCTGGGACCACTTCTTCCATTCATTCTCATAATTGCAAAAGCAGGTGAGAGAGCTGCAGACTGCACTGCGTGACAGACTGATCTATACAGCAGATGAATGTGCCCCGTGGGGTCTGTGAAATACTTCTGCAAAAATACCACCAGGGTCATTCTAGAGCCAACCCTGAGGGAGCTCCAAACAACAAGCTGTGCATACAGGCAGCTAACCTGGGTTGCTCTGCCCAGCAATGTACACATCCTTGTTCACACCACTGTTATTAGAACGTACACACATTTCAGAACATATATACTGCTACTAGAAAAAGAAAGAAAATAGCAAAATTAGGGAAAAAGATATAATAGAAATAAAACCCACAACTTTTTGTTCCTCTCTAGACAAAGCGTATTTTTAATCACCAATTTTACTTAGAAGAGAATAATTTCTTTAGATCATAGACGTGCCAATGATACAACCCTACATAGTAACAGTTCTAAACCCACGAGGGGGTTTTGCCTTGATTGATCTTAATCCCATAATCATAATTTTTACAGATGAAAAGTTACCACAATACGGCCTACTCTTTTTGTGAAAAGGACCCAGGTTTGGCAAAGACAAGGTTTAGAATCTACATATTGTCATTTTAGATATGCCACTGGAATGGCTTTCATGGTTTTGTGTATACATGGGATGAGGCAGAAAATAATCAAAAAGAACTTTTAAGTGTAAAGGATATTGACCCTCCTGCATTTTAACATTTAGTGTAGCCTTTTCTATCTTACCATCTCTCAGCACAGCACTAGTCTGAACTTTTGCCAATCAAGAGAGCTGCCAACAAGTCAGTTGCTGTGATGGAGCCAGCTAGCCTAATCAGTGTACCTAATGTAGGACAAACAACGGCATTCCCACCATAAGCAGTTACAAGTAATTCTATTGATGTGTTAACGATTCTTTCTCTGTTCTCACGTTTCTCTACTTCCCTCATTATTCTAACCATCAAATTGCTTTTAACTTCATGGCAGATGCTGGAATATTCTGTTCCAGATTTGTTCCTAGTACATCCAGATCTTAGCATTGTAAAATGCCAGCAAAACAAGGATGTAAATCTTAGCCCATGTGAATGGAGCCCAGATTGTTTCTCAGCTACACAGAGTGCATCCAAATTACTAAACTCATTTCTGAGCAGCCATTGCTATACAGGGAGTCCACAGAAATCAGTAAAAGCATATACATATCAAATGCACTGATAAAACAGATTCCTGTTTACCTTAGTTGACACAGGAACACAAGATACAGATGCTACAACACGGCTTTGTGGAAAAATACTATCCAGCAACATGCACTTCAACAACATAAAACTCATATATAGAAACAGATACAATCAGCCTTTTTTTCCGTCAGTAATATTTGACTAAAGTAAAATGCTTGGGATATGCAAAACATGGGGGAGGGAGAGAAAACACTGAGATTCTGAGACTTTTTTATCTACTGTCTCACCAAAACAGATTACTCGGTCTGTTGGTCAAGACTGAATATACAGTTTAAAACCAACAGGAACCTTTCTGCTCCGTGACACAACAGTATGCAGTATTGACAGCTAGGTGTATGCCTGTTGCTTCTAACAAATTATGCACACAGAACATGCTTCTGCAGTCTCCAATACCAGAATGGAATGGAATGGACTATAAAATCATGCAGTTCCAAACCCCCTCCCACGGGCAGGGACACCTCACCCTAGACCATGTCGTCCAAGGGAAAATACATATATATACTGAATTATATACTGAACAAATCTAACACAAAGACAGAAAACATTGATGAATAGTCAGGAACTAGCTGAAATTACTAGATTTTGCAAATGACATTTTTCTCTTTGTAAATTACATTAACTAACTTGAATCATTTCTACCTTCTACAAAAAAACCCCACTTCTTCCCATGAAAGCCTTTTTATTTTGTTCATCAGTTTAGTTATGCAATTAACTTCAAAGTTTTTATTTCCTGTGTAAAAAGAAGATAAAAATAATTTAAGAATGTCAGTAAAAGTGAATATTATTTGCATTTCAGCAGATCATCACATTTCAGCATATCATCACAAGTTTTCTCTTCTGCAGCTACTTGTTTATGCACATCAGCTGTCATGAGAAATGCTGTAATAGTTTACTTCCACCTTTCCTTTCATCTCAAATGGAACAGTTCCGTGTTTAACATATTAAACAGGAAATGGTGAAGTAATCTTTCAGAAACACATACAATCTAAAAATAAAGGCAAAAAGCTTGCAAAACATTTCATAGTATTGTCAAAAGAGAGCTGTCCCAAATTACACGATGTATCTCCTTTAGTCAGGTTTGTTTGTTGGTTGTTTTTTGTTGTGGAGGGGGTAAAATTGTGTAGGTAGCAAATGACTAGACAGAATTAATAAATTCTGCTCATTAGTTTTTAGATACCAATTCAGAGGATTTGAGATCATGTAACTTGGAAAAATAATTATGTGCAAACACAGTCAAGTTCTACATGTGCTTCTAATTTGATTATTCATATTTCTGAAAAGGTCTCAGATTAAGAACAGTCATGTAAATTTGACAAATTTATATAAAAAAATAAAATCTTACCAATAACCATTTCTGACACACTGATTTACAACATTTATAACATTTCAGAGAAACTTCAGACTGAGAATGAGGAAAAAGTTCTTCACTGAGAGGGTGGTTCATCACTGGAACAGGCTCCCCAGGGAAGTGATCCCAGCACCAAGCCTGTCAGAGTTCAAGGAGCATCTGAACAGCATTCGCAGCCATACGGTTTGGGTTTAGGTAGTCCTGAGAGGAGCAGGGAGTTGGACTCAATGATCCTTACAGGTCACTTCCAACTTGAGATAAACTATGATTAACTCAGTGACTCCAGGACCTAAGAATGGATCTGCAATTAACTGTTCTTCCAGAGCCACAGAACTCATACATTATCTTCAACTAAAGTCCTGGGCAGAAAAGAAGGCATAGCAGAGAGCTCTCCAAAGTTGACTTGAGCTAAGTTCCCAGTACGGGGCTGGGGGCTGAAGTAAAAAATTAATCTTAAACCTTTTTATTTAGGTTATCTGAGTGTTTCCACTGGAGAAACTATTCAAACAATAAGAGTTCAGCACACCTGCTAGCATTTCTAGGAAAGGATTTCTTTGACTTCTCAATTAGAAAAACAGTGATCTTTCATTCCCACTTCAGTGCATTTGCTGCCTTAAGGACTGTTTTATAAAGTCTTTATATCCATTCTGAAACAGCTCTACATCCATAAAGTAAAACAAGAAATTGTCTTCTCGACAGTTTGACAAATGGGCAGAGTTCCAAATCCAACTGAAATGCTTTGGAAAATCGTAAGACTCAGTGCGCTCCCCCTGTTTTATAAAAGTAAAAGCCCCAAAGAACTCTTGAGAGCTACAGATACAATATTGTAAGCTTCCCGTGACAACCACGTTTTCCTCTGAATTTACATAGGACTTTGTTCAGGAAATTAACATACACACCCACAAACATAACACAAACCAAAACCTTTCAGTTACCATAAAGCATAGTTTATTTTAAAAATTTGATGCCCGTAACAGCTTCAGACCACCAGCCAATAGTGTAAACATCCCTTTCAGTTCAGATTTTAGCAGCTGCTACTGAGCACCAAACACACCTCAAGATCATCAAAATAAGGAGCAACATCTATGCTCTCATATTTGCACATTCTCTTCAGTGTCCCTCCCAGCACAGCCAGCTTTCTGGAGGAAATTTATTAACCAGCTTCAGTTACAAATTTTCATCCAAATCATCTTAGCTCCATCCCCAGGCTTTTCACATAAGGGAAAAAAGAAATAGGAAGTTCTGAGCATGAATATGGCTTCTTAGTGGTAGCACAAGTACCTTTGAGCTATATGATCAAACTCACACTGCCACTTCTTCCAGCTGCACGGTTACAAGTGCAGAATCTTTTTAATGTTTTATTGCACAATGCAGTAACATTATTATGTCAAACAGACTTTTAGACTGATAGCAACGACAGGGGTGCAACATAGCACTCATAGGGGAATGCATTTTACAACCTTGTGACTGTAATAAACTGTAAACCAAAAGATCAACTGCTTGTACAAACTGTACTATACATATGGGAAAAAAAACCCCAAACAAAAACCATACAACAAAAAATCCACAAAATAAGGAAACAAAAAATCTCAAAACAAACAAAAAAAAAGTCCATCTTGCTAGTTAAACCAACAAAATATACCCAGAGATCATGACATTCAGATACCAAATTTTTAGAGTATTTGAGAAAAGGGAAACACAAGGCAATGACAATATACTTCCCAAGTGAAACAGAAAGTTTATTTTTTACTGCATGGGTTTTTTTCTGATTTTGGCAGAAGTTTTGTACTCTTGATTTGGCAGGTCACTGAGGAGTTAAAATATAATGCAGCAAACTCTACCCTGTGTTTTAGCTATAGCTACCCAGCATGTTTGTAATTTAACAGACCAAATCCCATCTATAATAAAAGAGCTGTATTTTCAACAGAAAGCTGTTGCTTTACCGAGTGTCTTTTCTTAAGTCCATATTTGGCTATGGTCTTAAGACTAACCAACATACTTCAGTTTCAGTTTGATCTGAGAGCTTAATTTCCTCTTCTGTCCTGGATCGATAAAATGTGTTACTGATACAGAAGCAGCGGTAACATGGACTTCACATGGCTTCTTTTCAGTCACAAGCATAAGCACACACACTGTCAACACTCTTGTATGCTTATCTCAAAACTGCAACCACAATGTTACTTTAAGCATTATTATTCTGTCAGTGCACCGACAGTTCTGAAAGGTTCCTGTTTCCAGGAACACACTGAAACATTTTTTTAAACAGCCTAAATCCTCCTGTATTTCATTTCTCCTTTGCTGTGAGGAAACACTGTAGAAAGTGCTTAGGTCAGGAAAACTGCATAAACAAGGGGTTTGGGTCCTCCTTCTCATTAGAGAGACATGATGGCTTTGGCATCATGCGGGTGCTTATAAGGCTCTTTCTTTCCACGGAGCAATACATAGTGAGAACGCACCTTGGTGCAGAAGTTGCCCAGGCTTCATGTTGTCCGTTATCTGCCACAGCAAGACTATGGCCAGGCAACAAGTACCGAGAAAGAGTAGGACCCTCTTCTCACCTTCCAAGTTACAACACACGTGTCCTAATTCACCCAAATAAAACAAGACCTGAGGTGACTCCCACGGAATAAGTACGACTGAGGAGTCTTCCCCATTCCCCATGGCAAGTAGCTCCCGCTGGGAACTCCCGCCGCGCCCGGGCCCTGCGGCAGGAGGCAAGGTATGACGGGCCAGCCCGGGGAGGCCGTGAGCCTCCATCCCGAGCTCGGGGTGCACCGCCGCGGTACTCACCGCCGGGAAACGGCTGCATGTTCCCTCGCAGAGTCCGGCCTCCGCCCTCAAGAGAGAAACTCCTGGTGAGAGGGGAGAAACGACGCGGCGGCGCGGCACGATTCTTCACTCCTCCCGCAGCATGCTCCCAGGCCAGGCGCTGCCCCGGGCTGCTGCGCCACCTCACACTGCAGTTGCTGTTGCCTGACCTGATCCCACCCCTTCAGCGGCCGCTGATGCCCCCCAGCTCTGCAGTTTCTCAGCCAGCACCAACAACCCTCTGCCTGGGGCCCGGCGCCAGCTTCCCCCCCGTCGCCCCGCCCCCCGCCAGCCCCACGCTCTGGGTGCCGGTGCGCACCGCCGTGCACGGCTCTCCTTGCGGGAACGGGTGTCCTGGTGTCGGGCCCTGCCGTCTGCTCTCCTGGGGGTATGTCGGGGGTGTCCCGTCGCTGCAGGGGAGGGATGACCTGACCGCAGGGCTCGGCTCCGGGACGCCGCGCCGAGGCTGCTCAGGGGCCTGACACCCGTGGCAATGTGCGGGACCCTGGCAGCTTCAGCTGCATGTCACCGTCACGATTTAAGCTTAATTTTCTGTGTTTAGCTTTATTACTGCCTTACCTGCTCCCTCCTCCCTTACCACTACACTTCTGTCATCACGTGGCTGATTAAATACCTTTTTTTCCCCTTAATATGGGAAAATTTTAACCCGATTGTTGGAAAAGAAGAAAATGGGTGTTGATTCAGAATCTGAAGGTCCCCTGTTTATTTTACCAAGTAAGAAATCTTACGTTTAACTGTTCTTAAGGGGGTGGGCAGAGGGGATGGGGGCCAGGCATCCACAAGAGCTCGGACTTTATTCACAGTCCTGTACTTCTTCTCACTGGTACATGAACCGGGAAGGCTATTTTTTCACACCTTAGTCTTAAGTGTTTTAAATACTTAGTTACATTGACAACCCTGTGGCTTAAACTAGATCCTAGTTACGTTTCACACTATGCCCTTGGAGTTTAGTTCCAGCCCTAATGTAGAGCTGTGTCAGTTTTAATTACTGTTTACACACCAACATGGTTTTAGACACTCCTTAGCATACAACAACCCATCCTCAAAAGAAAAACTTCAATTATTGAATTATTACATGAGCAAAGCATTTCTTTTAATATCATAGGATGTCCTGAGAGCTTTCTCTTCTAAGCACAGACCCTGCCTGGCCTATATTTAAATATATTAAGGAAACATTAACAACCATACAGGTGACTCGGCAGTATTGGGATCCTACACAGTGTCATGCAGAGAGCGCAGAGAGGCCCTATTAATATTTTTTTTAACTGCTTATCATTTGCTTTCACCATTCTTCATTTTTATCAATCCATAACTCTTCTCTGTGAAGAAGAAGGGCTAAAATAAGATCATGCTCTAGTACATGTGTGGAAATTTCCATAACTGTATTTCCCTATTAAAGTCAAGTTTTAAGAGAATACTATCTGAACTACTCATAGTTAGTATATATGGTTAGGTATAGAGGTCATTTCACAGGAGCACCAATTTGCATTTGCTCAGTAGTACAAGAATAAGGGTTTCCATATAATTTTGTATGACATCATTTAGAACACATTTGAACAGAACTGAAGCTCCAGCTTTGTAGGAGTTGTTAAAAACCTGGAATTTCTGCAGTGAAATGATGAAAAAAAAATCTCTGTCAAAAAGTTACAAATCCTTTTCACTATTAAATACCAGTTTTAGTTATAGCCCAGTAGTAGGAGTGATTGATAAGAACAATGAATGTCTGGTGTTTTTTTTCCCATGCCTTAAGTAAATTATTACCACAATGGCTTTTTTTTTTTTTTTTTCAAGATGCAGAATATAACATTTCTTTAATTGCACAAAGTCCTAAATATATCCTTAAAACATCTGCTATGATTTATATTCCATCTTTTTTTGGCAGCCTCCATTCAGGAATATCTTAATTGAGGCTTTTCCATAGGGGAAAATATGTTTGCTAGAAACCCTGCCTCTTTCTCACCTTTGAAGAACTGCTTTCCCTGAGATATTTCAGCTTTTAACAGAAGGAAACATGACTCAGAACTTCTTTGTTCTGGTTTATTTTTCTGGTGAGAGGAACAGAATTTTGGCCACATGAATATTACAACTGTCAGGTAGACGCTTGGGTGCCTTTGACACAGTGGGAAGTATCCAGTTGTTTTCTATCAGATCTGCACATAAGAAGAAGCTACATTAAAATAGGATGTAGGGCTCTGTAGCTGAGAAGTTTCCCAGACTCCAGAGTTTGAAGACAAGTGTGTTACTTCATCAGACTTGCTAAAACATGTTTAGCTCAGAATCAGATGTGGGACGGGTGAAACGTTTGGCTGATGGCCTTAAAAGGGACAAAAAAATTCCCCCAACAAATACTTATACCTAAAGCTTGAGCAGAGAGAAAGAATGGGGAAGTTGGCTTTATTCCTTGACTGAGGTAGCAAATACTACCGATTACTGTGTTAATTTCCTCTTTACTGTGAGGGGGTTTTATTTAAAGCTAAAAACCTGTACATTGCTGACACCCTTATCCCCTGCAAGCAAGAACTACAGCTGTTAGTAACCACTGTCTGTTCAGAGTATTATCCCAAGGAATCCACAGTACAGTGTTTATAAAATAAATAGCCTTATCAGCCTGTGTATCTTACCTGTTGAGATATCCTCACCTAGGAGAAACAGCTGCTACCACAGAAGAATCATTGCTATGTATATTATGTTGTCACAAAACCTACCTTTCAGCAATACTTCCTAGATCTACATTCCTTTTTGATCAGAGCATAGTTAAATTACACATTACCTTGCCTCTTCCTGTTGTCTCTTCCAGAAGCTTCAAGACCACTGCATTTATCTTAGGGAAAACATCTTAAATGCAATAAATTTCTAACCAATTAGATGAAAAATAGATCTGAGAGAATAGGTACCATAAGTGCCTCAATATGAGAAAAAATTCCACCATGAACTATACAACAAAGAATCCTTGCATAGGAACGCTTATAATAGTGCATGTAGAGGCATGTACAAGAGGGAGCATTCAAGGATGCCAATGCAAGAAAAGTTACTATCAAGAATTTCCAACGAGTTAAGATATGCAAAGACAACCACATCTCATTTAGCTCCACTGCTGACAAAAATATGTATTTTAATTGTTCTACTATGTATTTTCTTAGAATCTAGCAAATTCTTTATTCTTTCTGGCCTAGAACGAGGATTTGGCAGGATGCCAATTGCAGTCCCATTCCCAGTAGCCATGTAGAAATAAACAGCAGTGGTACACGAGCTCCTAGATGGATGACATTGCTACATTACAGATAAATTAAAAAAAAAAAAAAAATCAAAAAACCAACAAACAAAAGCCCTCAAGTTCAAGACGTATTTTAAGAAGGAGAGGCTTGACAGGGTTAGAAGATTAGAATGTTTTACTGTAGCATAGACCCTTTGCCTGTAAATGCTCTTCCTGCCTTGCTATTTTTGTTTAATTCATAAAAAATAAATAAACTATTTTAAAACTTCCACATCCTGAAATTAAATCAATGTATTTTTCTCTTTTCCTTGCAACATTTCTACTATGTTTGTATCTCACTTCTAGACTCACATCTATATTTTTGTGGTTTGGTTTTGGGTTTGTGTTTTGTTTTGTTTTAAGGAATACTAATTAGAAATTATCATGCACTATTAGGATATCATCCAGGTAGCAGAGAAGAAACTTGTCAGTTTTTGTGGTCAGTATTCTATAAAGAATGATTCAAAAGTTGCTTTTTCCTCAGGTAAATTAGAATACCGTTAAGTATGATAATTTGTGCAGATCTAACAGCTTGCCACTTAACAAAATGGCAATGTCCTTTTTCTGCTCAGCTCTTCCTCTTGGCCTATATTTCCTTCATACTTTCACTACTAACTTTGTACCAACTCTGATACTAGTTATATTCCTCTGCAGGCTGATTCAACTCTTCTACTGCCTAATCTGGCAGAAAACTAATTCAGCAAAACAGTGGATAATTTTAATTATGGGTTTTATCAGAATCTGCAAAGGATATCATCAGTAAAAGGAGGGCTCACAAGCATGCAGCTAAGCAACATCAGCTCAGAGTGAGACGAAGAGAAGGAAGATTCTTCTCAGTGGTGAGATGTCTATGGCAATCTCCCCATTAGGGTTCAGTTCTTCAGCTTTCTACATATATGGATTTAGCACTCTCTTTCCAGTGTTTCTATTCTTAGCTCAGCTCAGGAAGCAGTCAGTTCTCTTATCTAACACTAATTGAAACTGCATAGATTGTAGAATGGTCAGGGTACTGCCACAGAATACATGCATGTTATTGCACACACTTCTCTGAAATACTCAGTGTTGACAGTACCAGATTTGATTTCATTTGCACAAGGCTTTCATGAGTGCAAAACCCTTGCAATCATCTGAATAGGATTATAGAAGAAAATTGTAAGCAAACAGTGAGACTAATGCTGTTTAGCAAAATAATATATTTTAGTGATGTTCTCTCTCAGTCTTAAATTATGTAGAAGGCTGTAGAGCTTTTACTTGCAATGAAAATGTAGCCTCCAGTGTTATGCTAACAGGCAAGGTATGCCACAAAATGACTATATGCTAGCTATAGAATATAAAAAAATATGCAGTTTATTAAGCAAGCACACTAATGTGAATAAGCACACTAGAGCAAACAAGCATACTAATGTGAATCAGGTGTGTATCTCTCTATATATATTAAATATATGTAAAGTACAGAGGAAAATTAGCATCAAATCATTACTGCATAGAGAAAATAGAGATTAAAAAGAAATACATCACTAATTACCACCGAATCACCAACCGGTCCCACACTTCAGCTGGGAAGTCCCATTGCAGCCAACGCCGGCAGTCCCAGGTAACTGGAAAACTCCTACTTGGTGCATCCACCCGTAGGTGAATCTTCAGATTCAGGCACAAGAGGGTCCTCCTTTTATAGCCTTAGAAAAACAGCCAGCTTTATGCCAGATCACTGTTTACTTGTGGGGCTGTGCAGCTTCTCACCATCTCACTGTTGGCCATGCCTAGAGTATTGGCCAGGAGCCCTGGTGCAGCCAGGTATGAAGGTCATAGAACAGCTGCACAATAACTGAATGATGAACAAAAATATATATACTTCACCAAATATACTTTGACAAAAAGTGTAATTTGTAGTCTCTTGGTCATGAGAGGGAAGCAACT